TCAGCCAGACAGTGCCGGCTGGCGACCCCCAGGGGGAGGGCCTTCTCGGTGGGAGCTCCCACCCTATGGAACGAACTACCCCCAGAGATCCGGGTGATCCCGGATCTCCCTTCCTTCCGCCGCGCCCTCAAGACATGGTTATTTAAGCTGGCAGGACTGGCCTAAGGGTTATTTTTTAGCTGGGTTTTATAACAATTTTAAAAAATAACAAAGGCCTAATAATATTTCATCTTAATTAACATTTTAACTTTAGTATTTTTTGTATTTATGTATTTGTTTTTAAAAGGCTGTAAGCCGCCCTGAGTCTGTAGGGAGAAGGGCGGGGTAAAAATATAAATAATAAATAAATAAATAAATAAATAAATAATAAAGATATCAGGAGTCATTGCAGAAACTTCCTGAGAGAACTAGAACACTGTGCATTTCAAAAGTACACACCTACATTTTGGTGCCACTACGTGGAGGATATCTTTGTCATCATCAAAAGAAATACACTGAAAGACTTTCATATGCTAACTGAACTCCATCTTCCCAGACATACAATTCACAATGGAGGAAGACAATTATCATTTTTAGACATGTTTGTCAAAAGGCAGGAAGATGGAAACCTAGAAACCAGTTTATTGTAAGGCCACCAACACTCCAAGCGTTCTTAGTTTCAACAGTAACCATCCATTGTCACATAAAAAGAGTTGCATCACAACACTGTATGGCAGAGTGAGAACCCACTGTAGTACCCAGCAAGTTAAACAACTGGAGAGAAGATACCTACATGAACAATTCAAGCACATTTATTACACGAGGCCTATGCAAAATACAAAACAAAAGAGAAGGTAAAAGACCAATTATATGGTACACCCTGCCATACATTTCAGAACAGAACACGGCTTCCAAAATCTGCAAGTGGGCAATAATAGCACAATGCCCAGAGGCTACCATAGGAGGACAAATTATGCATTGTAAGGATCACTTGGAGGTGGGGGATACTTCTAGTGTTAATTTACTCGATCCCTTGCATGGATGGCCCCTGCAACTATATAGGACAGATGGGAAAAAAGCTAACCACCAGACTACAAGAACAAAAACGAATTGTCAGATGAGGAGACCTGAATTCATTGGTAGCCTCACATTGCAATGAACAAGGACACACATTTAGTTTCACAGCTACTAAGATCGTTGGCCATGAAAGTACAAAGATAACCAGGGAAATGACTGAAGCCTGGGAAACAGGCCCCTTGTCAGTTAACAGGAGTGCTGATTTACCATCAGCTTAACAAGTATTTAGGACAGTAGTGGTGAACCTATGGCACGGGTGCCAGAGGCAGCACTCAAAGCCCTCTCTGTGGGCACGTGCGCCGTCGCCCCAGTCTTCGGCCTTCAGCTGGGTTTTATAAAACCTTTTTGCTTTAGGCCTCCACCGCCGTGTGCAAAAAAAAAAAAGGTTTAATCAATGAGTCAATTTCAACTTCTCACGGGAAGAAAAAAGATCTTGCAAAGTTGGAATTGATTGATTGAACTTTTAGTCCCACCCAATCTGCTGTTACCACCGCAGCCACACCCAGCTAATGGGCCACACCCACCCGGCACCCGACAATGCATAGGTGGGTTTGGGATTGCAGTTGGGGCACTCAGTCTCTAAAAGGTTCGCCATCACTGACTTAGGAGCTGAGGGCTTGGCAGCACAAGGAAACAACAGCAAATGCCAGCCATCAACACACAATCAGCCAATAGGAAGTCACTATATAAATATGATTCATAGAATAGCCCAAAATACGTATCCCAGTAGAGACAAGTTCCCTGAAGAGGGGCTCCAGCATAAGTCTGAAAGCTCGGAAGAGTAAACGTCTGGTCCTGGTGACTGACATAGATTCAACCTTGCATCATTATTCTGGGACACATATTTGCCTTCATTCGTAAAGATATTACTCTATAAAAATATATTCGCCTATTCTTTCAAGACTTCATATGAACTACTTGGCTCATTTTGCTTAAATGCTGAAAACTTCATCCCAATCTGGGGTTTTTCCTTCCTTTCTTAGCCATGCGTAAAGATTGGAAGAAGTATCTTTCATCAACCTTATTGTACACTCTTTATATATTATCTGTTGCTATAATTTAAAGAAATGTTGATACAAAGTTTCCAAGCAATAACAATACAAATCATTCCACCAATCCTTTTCTCCTTAACAGGGCTTTTTTTGTCATAGAACGCACAGAACGGCGTTCCAGCACCTTTTTTCAATGGAATTTGTGGAACTAAAAAAAGTTCAGTCAGACTTTCCAACTTCTTGAGAAAAAAAAAAAGAGCTCACAAGGAGTTTGAAGGTCTGACTGAACTTTTTTTAATCCCACAAACTCTGTTTCCCTGCAACAGAAAAGAAACACGGCAGAGCTGGAAAGCAGGTTAGCAACTTGTTTTTTACTCAGCATGTCCTCGGTCTCTTTAAGCCTCTGGATGGCCTCCTGGGGAGAAGGCCCCTTCCCGCCACCTTTCTCCCCCGTGCTGATCCCAAACAATTTCCCCAGCAGCCCGGACATGGCTGGACCTCACGCAAGGAGAGTGACCGAGAACCCCAGCCCGGAGGAAGTAAAGAAAACGGGAAGGAGGATCTCTAGAAGATGCTGTGGTTGCTCCTGAGGTGCTGAGATAGACGTGATGGTGAAAGGTGATCCCTGCGATCCCCTCCCACCCTTGAACCATCAATCGGGTTAGTTGGCCGCACAGGCCAAAGGCCCAACA